GCCGCAGGAACGCCAAGTATCGCCGGCTGCAGAACTACCTGTACAACGTGCTGGAGCGGCCCCGGGGCTGGGCTTTCGTCTACCACGCTTTCGTGTGAGTACCGACCCCGCACCGAGCCGGGCGCGGCCCGCGCCGCACCGCGCACCTTCCCTCCCCGCTTCCCCCCGAGCATCGCTCCGCGGCCGGTCCCCGGGCGACGAGGAGTTTTTCCCCCTTCGCGCCGCCGAAGAGTGCGCGGGAGTCACCCGCGGGGGTGGGGGGGACACACGCCTGCGGCTCGGGCGGCGGAAAATGCGCGCAGCCCCCCGTGGGAGAGGTGATGGGTGGCGGAGGAGGGGACGGACGGACGGACAGGGACGGACAGAGGGAGTTTGTGGCAACCGAGCGCCGGGCGCGGGTTGGAAAAGTTTTATCCCTCCTCCGCCCGCCTGGTTTTCCGAGCGATTTTTTTTTTTTTTTTTTTTTTGGACGCGTGGGATGCTGCCACCCGGCTCCCCCCCCCACCTGCCGCCCCCCGCAGGCAGCGGGGAAAGGGGACGGTGACCGGTCTCCGCCGCCGCCGGCTGTCAGTTCTGCGCCTTTTTTTGGTCTTTTTATTCCTTTGAGCGGGGGGAAACTCCTTCCCGGCGGCCTCAGTCTGACCTAAAATAACTAAAATCCACGTCCCGTCGCATCGCGCTGGGGAGAGCGGGGGCTGTCACCGCGCTGCGAAACTGGGGCTGCTCGGAGGAGGGTGGTTTGGGAGAGCTGCGGGGGGGCACCGACACCCACTGACCGCTCCAAGTACCCCTAGGTTCAGCGGGGGTCCTTAGTTCCCCAGCAGTCCTCTGATTTGTACGGGTTCGGGCAATATTCGGGGGAAAGGCCCGACTCAAAAGCCTTTCGGGTGCGAGCGAGACACGCGAGGCGGTCGGGCGAGCAGTCGTCGCGCTGGATCGCGGTTGCGATCCGTTGCGATAAATTACAGAGGAAGGATGGTAGGCAGTGCTGTGTCGGGGATGTCATACACGCTGTTTGAATTCTACTGTGCTGTATGTGTATTATACTGTGTGTTTGACTACAGAAAGTAGACCGTAAATAAATCAGAAGATTTAACTGATATGCTGTAGGTAACTGTTTCCCTGGTAGTTGCCGGAATCAAGCTAGCGGTTACAGCAGCTTCGGTAAAAAAGCAACTGTTCCCTAAAAGCTGTTTGATGGCATAAAGAATGCTCCTCTCCCAGCGGCAGGGGAATCGCCAAATCCGACTTTAATAAAAGTTTTTATAAGCGAAAAACCGCCTTGCCAAAAAACACAGCAGTCTGACTAATAAGACACTTTGTGGATAGATTTATTTAGTAGCTCAAAGTTGGTAGAGATAACAAGCAGGAGAAGGGTGCTTAATGTTATATTTTATTCAGTAAAAGGGGTTTTGTCCACTTAGAAGATCTGCCCATTCTCTCTGTTTTACTGTGAAAATCAACTCTCACAGCTTGAACTTTCTTCTTGGAGAGCATTTAGTTGGTACATTTTGCTGGTTCTTACAGGTGTTATCCTGCAGCATCGATGGATGTAAACTGTTGTTGGGAGACTCACCGAAGTGTTTACTAGGAATTACCTTACTGCAGTGCCTGAAGTTGCCATACAAAATCAGTATGTTGTAGTTTGGGACCTTTCTCTTTGAGATTGTGGTGAAAATCATTAAAACGAGTACAGTTCAAGTTGGAAGTAAGGTTGAGAAGTTTAAACCTCAAAAAATAAAAGTAAATTTCCAAACAGAGTGAAGTCATGACACAGCAGCACTGTAAACAAGGAAGATTGCCAGCTGCGTTTAGATAATTGCCTGCATAGAAAGAGTGCCAGTTTTAATTTTTAATTGCAAATGGCAATTTTGGCAGCTGTAAATGCCAACATTATATCTTTTATCTGAGCAGATCTGTGTGAAAGAGCTTGAAATGCTACTGTAATATAAAGGCACCTAGTGATAATATTACCTTTAAGGATCTGTCACTGCTACAAGTGCTTAAGGTGCATTTGAAGTTCCATTGGATTTCAGTCTGACAGCCATCCTCATTGCCACTCTATAAATTATTTTAATGCATTTGTATAATTCTGATTTAATGACTGCCAGATACTCAGATAATATTTTTGGTGTTTCAGGCTCAATTCTTTCCAGCCACCTGATCAAATCCTGATCAAATACAATCGCATCTTGGAAAACACACTTTCTTGCAGAATTAAAAAACAAAACAAAACCCCCCCCCCCCCCCCAACTATTTGGAGGGGAAAAAAAAGTCTTGAGGCAAGTAGCTCAGAGTTGCAAAGACAGTATACTAAGGACGTGGATGAGATGTCTGCTCCTACCTCTGCTGAGCTGTTCTTGCCTGCAGTGGAGCCCGTCGCAGCTCTGTACTATTTCTGTTATGGGAATGGGCTGTCTGGGCTGAGACCTTTTGTGTAGATCATTGGTCTCCTGAAACGAAGCTCGCTCTGAATACGCAGGTTGAAGAAACGCAAGGGTGGTTTCAGAGTTTCAGTTTAAGGTCTTCGATCTAGAAGTTTATTTCGGTTTGCCTGGGGTTTTTTGAAATAAGAAGTGGGGAGTTAAGCATCAGTTACAAATACAAAACCATCCCTGCAGTGGTATTTTCATTTCTCATTTCCATAGGGAAAAACACTTTAGAGCTGGGAATTAAGCAGAGTCCCCTCTTTTTTTATTCATTTTGCCCTTTCAAATAAGAGAAAAACAGGCCAGCCACCTGAGGAACGAGTGTTGTGACCTACATTCAGAAGTCAATTGGGTAGTTTATTTGTAAATAACAAACTTGCCAGATGCTGGGAAAGGCAGCTGCTCTGCAAACTTCTGCTACTAGAGGAAGGATTTACTCTTGAGCAAAGGCCTTTGACTTCAGTATAGATGTGCTGGGGAGTAGAGCAATATATTACATGTTTCTTGGCTCCTTTCTGTGCACCTCAGTAGCTCTTTACATGGAAGCCCTGGTTAAAAATCTAAGGTCTTTCCTGTGAGTTTTTGAAAAACTGCTCTTCGGACACCACGGTCGTCTTTTCTTAATCATTCAGGAACACCAAAAATATGAACACTTATAAATTCAGAAAAGAACATTCATACCATTTGTGAGTAATGAGTCAGTAACTTAAACTCCTGCTAGTAAAATATTTATGCCGCACCACATCACCTACACATGGAGCATGTGCGTATTTAACACGTGCGCGCCTACATTAAAATGCTGCAATACTGTATCTTTTCAAAAGCATTGTCTTGGGATGTTGTAGGATTTCTTTCCGTTGTTGCTGTTACTGTTTATTTAGATTATTTGGGGTTGTTTGGTTTGATAAGAATGTATAGACGTTGCCTTAGAATGATCAAAGGGGAATTCCAGATTTGTTGCAAATTTAACTCTGGGTTTCATCAGCAGTTGTCATAAGGATTTTGTATTATTTTTGTTCTTAAGTGACATTCTGAAAAAGAGACGGCATGAGACATTCAGAAGAAAATACTGCTCTTTGATACTGTTCATACTGGTAGGATATAATTAGTTGCATCAGTTTCCTAATTTAACGTGTTGGATTTATTTCAGGAATAATGAAGTTTCTGTTTCTTACTGACTTCTTTGTAATACTTTCCATGCAACAGTCTTTCACGTTTGTTGTGGGGATGTCCTTCTCTTTACCAAGCCACCACCTTTTGCTCTGGAAGCTTCTGAATCACAAATCGCAGGGCTGGATGCGTGCACAAGGGCAGTATCGCTTTGCATGACCCGTACTCATAGGTTTCCACGGGCATCCTCTGTTGGCCACTGCCGGAGATAAGATACAGTGCTGGGTGAATTTAAGAGCCTGTATGATGTTCTTCTTGTCCTTTGCGCCACTGATGGAAAAAGGCTGAAAAATTATTTCTGAAAAAATTCTAATGATGCCATCAAAGATTTAACTAGCTATTTTAGTTTTCCAGATCTGCCGGGAAGGACATAGCTTTACTAATGATCAGATGGCTATTGAACAGCAGCGTCTTTGCATGGGAGCTGACAGCGCTGCGTCATACTGTGCCATTTGTACAATTAGGGAGGTTCCACGTTCTGATTAAAAAAATAATAATGTGCAACAGCCTAAACACTTGCTTTTTCTCCTATTGTCAGAAAGTAGAAGAAATGATTTTATCTCTATTTTATCCATCTCAAGCCATCTAATGAACTAGTTCCAGGTGCTCTGTGAGTAGATCGATGGCTTTCATCTTTTCAAGCACCATTTCAGAGTCAGGGTCTGATGTTAGGATACCAATATATTTTTATATGCTTTGAAAAACAAATAACAGCATGATACTCACAAATAACAAATAATAGGGTTGACAACATAAATGATGTGGCAAAGCAAATCTTATTAGGTACTAAGAAGGTAAAAGCTTAAAACCATTTAGCTGTAACACCTAAACTTTAGTAGGCATTTTCTTTTAGAGAGTGACAATGATGGTGGATATTTAGACGCACTTCCGTATAAATCTGCAGCGGTTTGCCGCTTCTGAGGCAAATCTGTGCTTCTGTATGTGTGCGTATTTCTCACTTAAATGCTGTTTGGAAGGGGACCTTTCAAGTCACCCAGGCCAACTGGAAGACACGCTCTTCCCAGTTGTATCAGCCGGGCTTTGCCGAGACAGGTCTTAAACTTCACGGGATGGAGGTCCCACCTCCTTGGTGGGTAACCTGCAGGTCTGTACCACCCGCCTGTTGAAAAAAGAGAGGTTTTGGCGTGGGGAGGGAAGGACGGGAGAGCCAACCTGAACATCCCACGTGGCAGTTTATGGTCATTGCCCCTCTGTGTATCACATGGCACTAGCAAGAGGAATTTGGCTTCTTTGTCTTTGTAATTTCCCTTCAAGCAGCTGTAGGCTGCTAGTAGGTCACCTGTTAGATCACCCTCTTGCCAGACCGAAGAAGCTCAGCTCCCTCAACTTCTCAATGTAAGACCCAAGCTCGAGGCCCCCGACTATCTTGGTTGCTCTCCTGCATCTCTTCCAGCTTCTGCATGTCCCTGTTCAGCTGGGGCGGGCACGACTGGGTGCCGTAGCTGAGTGCCACATTGAGTAGAGGAGCAAAATA